CCCCCCCCCCCCCCCCCTTCCTTTACCATAATTAATTAATTAATTTCAAAACTTATAAGGAGGAACGAGGATCTAATTTGGCTCACTTAATCAGGGCCAATAAAGTCTGATTTTAATTACCTGGGGCTGATTTTAACCCACTGGCTGAAATAAGTCACAGCGTGGGTTAGAATAGCCTTTTGATGGGGCTGTTTCGGGTTAAATTGTGCTTAAATGGCTCCTGGAGAGGCTGAATCAGTCTTTGAGGCTAAAACAGATCTTTTTTTTACAGCATAAACAGTATACAGTATATAAAGTACCCAGTCTGAAATTTTCTATATCCTTTAACTTTAATTTCTTTACTTATTTTATAGGCTTGCTTTCCATGTTTAGAGGCTGCTTGTTCCCCAAAGGCGTCAAACGCGACTGTCTTCGGAATGAATTCTCAGATATTGTGCTCATTATAGTGTATAACTTCCCGTTCTACTCAAGCATCACAACCCTAACCAATCTGTACAAGAAGGCCTTCCCATTAATCATGTTTTGTGGATCCAGAAAGTCGGAGAACCACACAGTCGAGGCCCTCTACATTCAAAAGGGATACTTTGCTTACACGTGTATGTCACGTGCTATGGAAAAATATCCGGGATACTCGGGATATTTGGTAATTAACGATGACGTAATGTTGAACTACTGGAATTTGATTGGCCTTAACAGAGACCGAATATGGGAGGGCCCAAAACGGGTGATACGCTTTCAAAACTACAGCCTACCTCAACGATGGTACTGGTGGAATTCCACTTGGGGGATGAAATCTTGCCAAAAGGCTTATAATGAGTTACAGGTATTGTATAAAGCTAATCCAGACAAGTGGCAGCCAGACATAAACGTGATAGATCATTTGCAAAAGAACGGAAATGGGACATTTTATTGCCATCGTGGTCGATCTGATGTGTACTATATTCCTGGAAAATTTGCCGACACTTTTAGAACACTGTCGTACGTTTTCTTTAAGCACGGAACATTTCTGGAAATAGCTGTACCAACGATATGTAGGATGCTTGACTTGGCGGAGAATTTTGAATATATCTCGGGGATATATCTGCCTGGAAAAGCTGGAGAAGCCCCAGTTAGAAAAGCAATGCATTTTTGGGAAGTATATGACAAACAACTGGCGTTTATTCACCCACTGAAACTAAATTACAAAGACGATGGTGCGTTGAATTTAGTACTTCTAAGAAAATTGATTACAGAATATAGTGACACCCTTAGTAAATGTGAAAGAAAGTAGGGACGGTCTTTCCTTTGTTGCTGCGCAATAGGATTTGAGGCGTTACTCGCCAAAGTGTTGGAAAAAAGGCCATTTCCGAGTTCCATAAACTCCCTCTAAAGGAGGCGACACGCAAAACCTTTATAATAAAATAAGTTTTTTTGCGTGAGAATAAAAATCATTTTAAAATCAATAGCTTCGCACTTAGCCTTGCTTTAAAGCAGAAGCTAGGGGCAGCCCAGAAAGGGGTTAGATTCAACAAGGAATCAATCCTAGGCGTGCGAAACATCACTGACAAACCAACAGAAACCTTCCAGGACACGAACGTCTACTCGTGTCACCCACCAGACGTGAAGAAAAGTTTCATTAAAGGAGAAGCACCCAGGCTTCTAAGGCCTAATTCCTCTGATCTCAAACCACATTTGAGGGAAAGATAAAAAATCTCCAAAATCGCCTGATAGAAAGAGGCTATCCTGCCGCTATTGTAAGAAATTACCTCTCTGAGATAAAGTTCGCCGACAGGAAAACAGCCCTTCAACAGATAAACAAATCCGCTCGTAAAAAACTACTACCTTTAGTTACACAATACCACCCGGCTTTACCTTGCCTTAACAAAATACTGATGGGGAAATGGCACCTTATACAAAACCAGCAACGGCTAAGAGAAACCTTTTAGGAACTTCCACCGGCATATCATATCGCAAGGGAAAATCCCCTACGGACCTATTAGTTAGAGCGAAGCTCTGAAGGTCATATAACTACCAATACAACTAAGTGCACGTAGGAGTCATGTGCTGCCCGTCGCCTATTTTTAACCAAATCAATAGCTTCGCACATAGCCTGTCTTTAAAACAGAGGCTTGGGGCAACCGGAAACGGCCAATTTCAGGTAGCCTGCAAGCAAGCTCTTCAGGGCACTCTGACAGCCGGGTAGGTAAAGGAAGGAGAGCTTGCAACTACGTCTCTCGAATATGAATTCCACCCCCCTGTGGCTCCTCGCGTCGACTGAGCTATCAGATTTTCGATCAGCGCGAAGCGAAAAAAAGGGCGAATGTTAACAAGCATTGAAAAACACGTTCCAAGGGTAATGACGTCATTACTAATGTCATCTCCGCCAATCAGTATTTCGCATCGACGTTTTCGATGCAGATATTCAAATTCCAGAGACGTAGTTGGAAGCTCTTCTTCCTTTTCCCGCCCCGCCGCCAGAGGGCCCCGGAGAGCTTGGTAGCAGGCTATATTTGAAGTTTTTTAAAGGACATTTCTNTGGGGCAACCGGAAACGGCCAATTTCAGGTAGCCTGCAAGCAAGCTCTTCAGGGCACTCTGACAGCCGGGTAGGAAAAGGAAGGAGAGCTTGCAACTACGTCTCTCGAATATGAATTCCACCCCCTCGTGGCTCCTCGCGTCGACTGAGCTATCAGATTTTCGATCAGCGCAAAGCGAAAAAAAGGGCGAATGTTAACAAGTATTGAAAAACACGTTCCAAGGGTAATGACGTCATTACTAATGTCATCTCCGCCAATCAGTATTTCGCATCGACGTTTTCGATGCAGATATTCAAATTCCAGAGACGTAGTTGGAAGCTCTTCTTCCTTTTCCCGCCCCGCCGCCAGAGGGCCCCGGAGAGCTTGGTAGCAGGCTATATTTGAAGTTTTTTAAAGGACATTTCTCTTCAAATACAATAGCTCGGTCTTTTGTGCGGCAGCTCAAAAAAAGGCGCGAGAATAGATAACTTCTGTGATGGAAAAGATGATTCAGATGAGTAACATTGATGAACAAATTCGCTTGCCCCTTACCAGCCCTAAAAAGCCTTGATCCCACAGTACACTGCCAAAATAGCTCTCTTCTCTGCAGAGACTCCCACTGGGATTAAATTCAGAAACCACTTAGTTCACAAAGTTCTCTTTCTTTTTCCTATAGTCCAGCTCCTACGCGTTTTATTTTTCCCTCCCCCCAGACTCCCAGTGGCACAAAAAGTTGGCAATAAGTTCAATGGACCTTTTTAGCTCGAATGGTTTTTCCGAATTCAAACCACGTGAAGTTCTAAAGCGAATTTGGTTTTTATTTTTTTCATAAATTATGCACACGTATACAGGGCGACATTTGAAAGAAAAAATTCTCTGGGGTAATATCATATCGTCTGAAATGGGAAAACAAAACATAAACGCTACAAAGGTCTATAAAGGTTCATTGCTTCAATACTGTACAGAAAAGACGTGTTTTACTCTATATCCAATCCCTGAGAAGTGTAGGATAAAAAAAGAGAGGCTATTGGTATTTCGAATTTTTTGTTCCTTTTGTTTTTTTACAAGCTATTAATGGTGGAGAAAATAAACATGAAAAAGATTAAACTGATTGCTCTCGAAAGAGTAATTCAGTCCATATCCAGATACCTCAATGGTCGTGGTTTCTGTTTCCTTTTAGCTAAGCGAGAGGAGCGCAAACGAACAAAACCTTTTGCTCGTTTTAACCCCAGCCCTGGTGTATAATCCGCGCTTCTCTTGCTTGGCTAGGAGAAGAAAAAATTCTGCTACGCAGGTT